TATACACGTCTGGCTTAAATAGCTGATATAATAGTCATTAAATCTGTGATCAAGGAAGGACCTCGGCGGTATCGTTAGATTAGGAAATCCCAGTTAATAATTCTGGGAAATGCACAAAGCAAATAAAGCGTCAATTGATTTTTTGATTGAGGAAAAGATTTACATAAGTCCTACACAGAAAATTACACAAGCCTGGCATAAATAACTAATAAATATAAAGGATCGATTGTAGAAGAAAAATAAAACTAATCGTGTGCAAAGTTTTTGATCCTAGTTACAATAGGCTCGGAGTCTTCACGATTAATTAAAAGCCATTACGCATTGATGAAACGCGTTTCACGGCCGGCAATTTATTAACCGTAATCGCGTGCCGAGTTATTATTGTTATCCAGGCTTGTGGATCACCGTGCGTTGCGATGCGCGTGCAGTTATTAGCACGAGGAAAAGAAGTGGCACGAATCAGTGGGTCGATGAAACCCGGCACAGCCTCGAGAGCTGCCTGAGTTTGCAAGCTCTGATTCCTGCTCCCTTCTTCCAAAGAAGGAGAAAGTTCCCGACGAAGGAACGCCCGGTCTTATCATAATTTTCCCCCTAAAAACAATAAAAATCGTCGAGCGACAACTGCGTACAAGTCAGTCGTCAGCTTTGACGAAAGAAGACAAACGTCACGATAACGTTTTGTGTTTATCTGAGGAACTTCCTCAACAGAGAGAATTGACATTGAAAATTATCTATTCTTTCGCACGGAGAAGAGACCAACTGTTCTTTCAATATTAGCATGTACGCGTCGCACACACTTTAAGCAAGTGGACTCGCTTCTGGGAGACGTTCAGTTGTTGTTGAAATTATTCTCATTTTTATTGCTCCCTTGTCAACATGCGTACATATGCGATCAAGCATTCTTGGAAGATAATGTGGCTTGTGTCACTTAACGATGCGATAACTCATTATATTAATAGATGCTTGGATAATCCATGTTTCATCGCACGCGAGTCCATTAAAATAGCAAATCGTACGGATAAATTTATGGACGGGCAACATGAATTAGCATAACATCATCGCACTAAAAGACAATAACAAAACTATAGACAGATTAATTTCGTTATAAACATAAACTCTTCCCAATATTCTCCGCCTCAGTTTCGTTGTGAACATTCAGGAATTTCAAGATGGCTGGAATATGTAAAAAGTTAAGAATCTACATTTTTATGGCACTAACCTAAAGATCGGGAAACTTCGTCGTCGCTGCTACCACCGTTTTCACTGGTAACACTTCACTTTTACAAATTGGTGTGAATTCGAGAGTCGGCGATTCCTTAAAGAGCGCGGAAAGTTATGTGTCCCTCGGAACGCGTGTCGAAATACAATACCTATCACTCGAACCGGCGTCAGATTACCCGGGTCCATGACTACGCGGATACAAGAGCCCTGTTTACATTTTTAATGGTTCGACGATCGCCTGGACCGCCGCCCGCCGCGGGTCAACGAGAGGTCACTAATTACTGGACAGTGGACACTTGATCGCGTTCATTATTTCGACAATTTCTTAACCAGCATCCCGCGGTTTCCCAAGCTTCATAGTACGGGGTACTCAGAGCATGCGTGTCAAGTTGCTTACTAATTCAAAAATTTTCGACCCAACATTTGAAAATTATGGAAATCGAGGAAAAATTAAGTGAGGCGATTTTGTATTTTTAATTTTGACGATCGTTTAGATTAGAGAATTAATTAGGATTAGGTTGGATTTAAAGAGTTAATTGCATTCCGGAAGTTATGTCGAAGGAATTTCGGAAATTATAACTAATTACACCAGATGGAGCGTGCAGGTGGTGGTCCTTCCCGAAACGGGAGGACAGTCGGTGCTTAACGGTCGCCGGGGTGTGATTTGTCGTGTAATAGAGTCAGTGATTTTCGGTCGAATCTTCGGGAAGAAAAGCGTTTCGAGAATTCGGATCATTCTCACCGGCTCGCGGTGTTTACGCGTTGGAAGAACCGGTTTCCTTCCCTCCGTGAAACGCGTGTAGTGTCCTGTGTGCGCGATGGATTAGGAGCTGCGAGTCGCCGGTAGCCATCGATCTTATCGGATGAATCCAACGGAGCCAGCGGGCCAGGACTTCGCCGGGATGAGTAAACGGCAAAATTTAATTAACTAGGATTAATCTCGCTCGTTTCGTGTATTATTAAGTCGCATACAAATTTTCAAGCATGATCGACAAGAGTAAGTAAAAAATTCGTGGTTTCTAATATTACGTATATAGGAAAGCCTCCACTTTTCAAATCGCAAGACGGTTACAAAGTTTCGTAGCCATGTTGGAACGAAACAAATGGAAGGTAATGGAATTTATTTCGAACACGAACGGGTACAATTTTTAAAATGCATGCAATTGTCTAATAAACGGAATTTCGTTGAATCCCGCAATGATATCGTCGACGTGAAATGTTTTATAAACAGGAATAGTCACGTCGAGAGGAAGAAGTTTCCGTGGGACGAATACATCGTTCGATTCATAAAAGGAGAAAGAAATAATAAAAGTGGCGATCAGCTTACACGCAAACTAAGGCTACAAGTGGGAACCGGTTTCGTAAAGATTGTGTGGCCACGCGGCTTTCGTCTGCGTTTATTTCGTTTGCCGCCGCGAACGTCCGAGGCTGTTGCCTCTACGAATGGATGGATCCTATCTATGAAAACGCGTGGCGCGTAGTCGACGATCGGAAACAATAATTCTCTTCCTCGTTTCGACGTCGCGGTTAACCCGAACTGCTTGCAGAATTTCAAAATTGTTGCAAAAACGTAATTCCCTTGGCAGTATGCTTATTCGACGGAATCGTTCGCGACGAGGTTGCGTTGCATGAAAATATTTCACCGTTTCGCGATGGCAGAGATGAAGCAATCAGTGAAATCGCTGAGTCCGTTTCGTCGTTCAAGCATAATTATTAAATTATTCTAAATATCTTTTCAGGAACTCGGATCGTTGGGTGGGAACGATGTTTGCTGCCGATGATTACTACTACAGAAAATTGAATGCGCATTAAAACACCAGACGGGTAATATTCAAATGCTTGTCCAAGAGACATTTTTTAAACTGATTCACGTCTTGTTTTGCATGAAGATCCTCGTGTATGATATGATCCATGTTTACGTGTATTGTACATCATTTTATTTTTGCGAATGAATATTAATTGAGCCGCGTAGGCGATGGAACAGTGGTGGCGGTTCGTAGCTGTTAAATTTAACTTCTACCCGGAAAGGTTGACTCGTACGTTTTACCTTTCGCAGTCGCCCGGCTTCGAGTCCCGAGGTCAATGTTTACCTTCTTCTTTTTCTCCGTGCTTAATGTTCGCGCGGTAAACCGTGCAACACATGTTCCTTTTTTTACAAAACTTGTAAAACAGCTTCGTCTTAGCACCGAATCGATATTACACAAAATATTTCCCAATTATTCCAACAATATTTACAAAAAATTGATATAAACGTTGCTCTGAAAATCTGTCGAGTTTTTCAAGAGTCCGACGAGATTAGAGTCGAGTTATAGAAAACAAATGTCGCGGCTGTAACGGTAAACCTGGCTGGTTTCGTTAACTGCATTCTCATGCGAGGTGGAATTTTGAAAAAGTCGGACGGGGAAAAGTACACGCGATAAGTCGTACACTTAGCGGGGATCGGAGAAAGCAGCGCTGCTCTCTGATGCCTTGACGCAAAAATCTCGTGGCGCTTGTAGTACATAGAACCAGAATTAGATCTAACCGGCAGCTATCCCTGGAACGCCGTTTTTCTAATTTATCAATGCGAGAGGGGATACCGTTTCAAATCCGAGAGTATTTACGTAATCTTTAAAGAGTGTCGAATTGGAATTCCGTACGTTTTTTGAGAAAATCAGGAACAAAGATTGTTTCATAAAAACAGATTATCTTTATTTCATTAACTAAAACTGAAAACCATTATAATAATATATATATATTTCATATATCGTTTAAGTTGACTGCATATAATCAATACAATTGTTTTGATTTATAATCAATGAACGCAGTTTGAAATTTGGTACAATCGCAATTCGGATCTACAGTAGATTCTTCTTGCTGAACATTTATTGTTTGAAGAAATGCGAACGTTGTTACTGTTGAAAAGGCTATGGGGTTCCGAGAACCTAATCTATTGAAACGAAAACCGTACGGTTCTCTAGATGGCAAAATATAAATCGAGCCACGTACCGGAGAAGAAAAGAAGAAATTCAATTGCCTCTTGGGGCATGAAAGCAAACAGAATCTCCATTCATCCTGCGGAACAAAGGCGGGTGAGAGTGTGCGCGTGCATTCGGCATTGTCGAATTGGTAATTAGTTGACAGGAAAGTTCGCGGAATAGTAACAAACGGTAAGTTAGCTAATGCCTCGCGGTTTTTGCGCGCAGTACTTATTGTTCTCGGTACTCAGAGTCGGAGGAAAAAATATGAAATTCCTTGTTCTTATTTTTATCTAGGCAAAGAAACTGTCTTCGTATCTTTGCCAGGTTTCATATACAATTTCTAGTTTCGATGATACTAAACCCTGTGAGAATTCTGTGCGCAACACATCTAATACCTCAAGCTTTTTATGCATAATGTTTTTTGTACTCTAAAAAAGTACGTTACTTACTTTTATTTGAGCAAAGAAGCTTTCTTTTATATCTTTGCCAAGTTTCGGATTTTTACATACGCTTTCTCGTTTCAACGGTACTAAACGTTGAGAGGATTCGTATCGAAACAGATCCGTGCGCAGCGGACGTGCGCAACCCGCGAACAGCAACAGGTTGTTGCACCTCAGTGAAAAAGTGTATGCAAATCAATCGAAGTGCGAGCGTTTCAATTTGTGCTAAAATCGAAATTTAAGAAGAGATTTCGCATCCATTAAACGTGTACTTGGGAGCGCATAGTGAATACAAAGTGATTGCAAATTGTTTTCGTTTCAGAACGTACGTTCCCCATAATAAATATAAAACCCGCATGAAAGCGGGAAAGCGACTTACCCAACCGGAGGGCGGCAACCTGTGCGACACCGGCGAGCGCTAGGAGGGCAACCAGCAGCCAGGGAACGTTTCTCGCCCCAAAATAATTCCCGGAAGCGTGTTTACCACCGAGGATGAGCGTGCGTGGCCGACGTGGCCCCGCAGCCACTGCCATCGCACACCGTCCTTCTCACCGCACGTTCAACAACACTCTGATTTTCGTCTCCACTGTTCGGCCGGCACCACGTCCCGGGGATGCACCGGTATCCTTCTCTAGATGCACACTCGGGCCGGAATGCAGTGACCGTGTTACCCGGGAATGTTTTACTTAAAAGAAATACAGTTCCTTTTTGGACGAGGAGTGTTCTACACACTTGTCGCGTCCGGTCGAAACGGAACTACGTTCGGTGCGCGCGCGGCTGCCCGTCTCGAGGCGAACCAGGATCCTTGGGATGGAAGGGAAAAAAAAAAAGAGGAACGCGAGAAGAAGCACGAGCGACTCTCCTCGGGTTCAGTTCATGGCTCGCGCGCGCTACGTTCACGAGGCCGCGGTCAGTGAACGACTGAGGACAAGCTGCATTATACCCGGTCCGGTCCGGAGTCCGGAGGGGCCCCAAGATTTAATGCACATGCGCAGAGAAAGGGATCTAAGCACCACGTGTGGTAAATCCTCTCCGAAGATCGTCGATTCGAATATGTACCTGTGACACGGATAGGTACCAATGACGACGTGAAATCTGTTTCCAACTATTCCGTCGGGCTGAGGCAAACGTCAGTCCGTCGACGCTGACGATAACTGATTGTTTTTTAAATTGATTTCAGGCCTGCAGCTTTTGAAACGATTATATTTTGAAATATATGATCGTTCAGTCGATGCTCGGGATTAAATACCGCGTGCAACATTCGTCTACCTGTTCGGAGATCCGTAGAAAGGGAATGTAAACAGGACGAGTCTACCTGACCTGAGGTAACACTGTCCCTTCGAGTTTTCCTCACCTTTTTTTGCGGTCCTACTGACCTGAGACGTTTCGGGGCTGCACCTGCATTCCACCCCATTGTTTTGGTTCAATACGCAGAACCTGTTGGATTAAATAGAAACTGTACCGAGATTTGTTCTACCTGCTGGACTGAAGAAACTCGGAACGAATTTCTCACGAATTAGTCGACTTGTGAAACGAGAATCGAGTATACAGGTTGAAGGAGACAACCTGTCTCATATCTCAAGGAATCTCTTAAATTAGGTAGAAACTGTAGCGAAACTTGCTACAGTCTACTCGTATTGAACGATGAAATCCGAAACGAATTCTTTACAAAAGGCACGGACTTGCGAAACGGGAATCCGTATTAATTGGGAGTGGCGTTTGTTCGAGAGGGAAACCCGCAATTTATCTTCTCGTACGTACACCGTTCGTGAATGAAGTTGTATAAGCGTGAACCCGTGCCGTGCCGTGCCGTGCCGGTGCCGAGAGAGAACCGACACGTCGCCAACCGCCGCTGCGTTTTCCCGCAAACGCGTTCATTAGTCAAACGCAAATGCCACAGCCCATGCACGACCTTTTCCATTGTCCACGCGACACGCATTCCATCAATTCCGATGGATACTGCTTATTATTATTAACCCACTAATTCGCTTCCCGTTGCCTTTCTCGTTAACGAAACTCAAACGTAAGCCAGAGGTACTCAGAGTACAATTCAATAGGAAAGAATTATAAACAATTATAATTCGTGAATTCCATCAAATTACAGAGCATCCTTCAATTATTGGAAAGATTTACGCATTAATTCCATCGAATTGCGTGGAATATCTCTCAATCATGACTTGAATTGAAAAATATTTACGCCGTGTTGAAAAGTGAGTTAATGAAAAATTCATTCGGGACAAGTGCGCACAGCATCACTGGGCGTCTAACAGCAACGTGTGCGTTCTTTCACCTGTTATTCTGCTGTTCATTGGTCGCGCACCTTGCCGACGCAGCTCTAAACCGCACAATAAAAGGTCTCTCTCACTCTATCTATCTCTGTCCTCTTCACTCGCGTCGGCTCTATTCCTCCCGGTGTATATGTACGGGCACACGAGTCGTGACCTTGTGGCATTTGGTACCTGTCCGTACCAGCCGGCGCACGAGTACGCCTGACGCCTATAGCCACGATTCCAATGCTAAATCACTAATTCGTCTATGTTTTTTCTTTTTTTTTTCTTTTTAATGAACATAAAATTGTTTGGCTTATTTTAGAAGTAGAGAACGATAGATGCGAGAAGGGAATAGACAATCGGTAAAAATAAGAGTTATTTTATTGACACTGTAGAAGGGTAAATTATTTCCGTGTTCTGTGTAAGTTCCGAGATTGACTAGTACCAATTAAATGACACAGGCTTTCTCTGATATATCCTGTACAAGAGGATCATCCCTCTCGCGTAGAAGATTCCCAGACTCGCAGGATTAGTAGCACGGAATAATTGCGGTATTAATAAATTAAACTAGTAAGTTGGAAATCCTCAACGCGAGCACGACGGGATACGCTTAACTGAAATCGATACCGTGATAAGAACGTTCAGTCTATGAAAAAATGAGGATTATCAAATGTGAAAGGTGTGAGCACCCCCGTGTTAAGTTTCTCCGTCTACAATATCGTCTTATTAGTATTGTTTCTTCTTTTTTAAGTCACTTTTGAACGCCAGCTACGTTTGACAATTCCCTCTGAACGTAATATCAGCGCCGAGCTGTGGCTCGGTGTCACCGACTACAGTTTCGCTGTTTTCGGCCATTTCGAAAACGAAAATGTTGCATACGACGCGTGGTAAACGGCTGCGGATACTATTAGCTCGCACAGTTTTACGCCCGTTCACGGAACGGAGTCGGCGTGCGCGCTAGATTAAGTACATTATGCTTGGAAAAAAAAACCTCGCAAGGCCACGAAAATGTGTGTCGACAATTCCTTAATTAATATACCCGTTGAAACAAGGATTAGAAGCAGTAATAATAATTAGAAACGTTGCTATTAGCTACGCGCTTAAACTATCGATTGGTCCACGTCGCATCTGAGAAACGAAGGGAGGAAGGGAGAATACTTAAGCTTAAACGATGATTAATAGACTGCAGATTTTATGCGTTTATACCCTCTACTTTAAAAATGAAATTCTACAGAACTTTATGTTCAAAGAAAAGTCTATGCTTTTAAAATCGATGTATAAATATTCTGCATGAAAATCCGCAGCCTTGAACAAAGGGCAACTATGTATCACATACTATCGGTGATGTGTGAATACTCGCAAGCCAGTTGAGAAACTCATCGGAACTGAAATTACATCAGGACTCCGTTTCGTGAACCACGGTTCCTCTCCGAATCTCGCTTATTTAACTCCATACGGAATCGGTATTTCTCATACTGAACAGGTGAATACTTGATCAGTGAACGTGTTCTTTGCGTTTCATGGCTAGGGGAGGAGAGGGAAGTAGGGGGCAATGGACGGGGGAGGATGGGTTTTAGGAAGGTCGGTCCAAGCGCGGGTTTGAAAGGTTAATGGAACGTCTTTTCTCCTTCGTTTCTACGTCGCATCTGTCCACGGGACACTAGGAGAGAGAGTTGTGTTGTTTTCTGTCGAATGTTCTGACCTTTCAAACTCGCGCTCAGACCGACGTTACTCAGCCGGGCATCTTGCGACTTATCACGCCCATCTCGCAGGCCCTGTCGAGCATCAGAGTTCTCGCGCTGAGGAACGAGAGATCCGGCAGCCGGTTCAATACTTTCGCTGTCTCCGGTTGGATCGGCATCATCCGACCGTACCTGTCCATCACCACGTGTTCCGGTCTCTTGTTCGCAGCCTTGCCGCGATACTCTGACCTCTCCGATGGCAAATACTGTTTATCGTTCGATGAGAATTGTCTCTCTGTACTCGCGTACTGCTTCTCGTTTACTGAAAATTGCTTTTCCGTAGGACACTGCTTCTCGGTGAGAACTGCTCTCTGGCTAGACTTGTGCTCGGGTTTCTTCTTCCATTCGGACGACCGTGGAGCAGGCAGAGGCTCGATTATCTTCGAAGAACGTCTCGACTTAGCAACGTCGATCTCCAACGGATCTAACGTCTCCACTTTGGACACCGAGTTGCAACGTTCTCTGCTTACGTTCGACTCCGGGGCATCTGTCGTTTTGCAAAAGATTAATCTTGTAAACCGCGTTGGCAGGAGGATTCAGCGTAACGGCATGCAAATACAGAGAATCTAATGTTTCTAGTTCTGGCTACGGAATACAAGCCTAAGACTTACGATGATTAATAGGATTCCTTGCGCTACTTGGTCGATGGTAGGATTCAGAGTTGGTGGAGCTGTGGGATGTTAGTAGAGGATCGAAAGGACACAGAAAGTCCAGAGGTAGAAGAGCAGATAAACCACCACCTAGATTACACGATTCGTCAAATTCGTGAGGCCCAGCATTAGCACGGTTTATACCGGATCCACTTCAAGCTTGCCAAACTGTAGTTCCAAAATTTCAGTTTCAGACAAAACTCTTGTTAACGAGCTGCAGTTTGGAAGCCTCGGATAACCGGTACAAAGATATTGCGAAAGCGAACAAAGTGTAACGTACAAATGTACACATAGTGCGAACCTAATCATATTTTTCCTCTAATTAAGCGCAACGGTATTATCGAAATGCAGAATACTTACTAGCTTCTAAGGGATTAACAAGCCCGGAACTATTCCAATCGAATTGAGCAGCAGGTACTTCCTAATAACATTGCGTCGTTATTAATTATAAATGACTCTTAATAATACCATCGGTTCCGTGAATCACTCACCTCCGAATTAGTCGAGGTCTGAGTTTTATTAGAACTCGAAGCAGTCGGTTGAGACTCGGGCATAGCTTTGATTGGCTCCAAAGGAGTGAAACCGAGATTCGCCGCGAATCTCGGGACGTTTGGGTTCCACCTCGGCCCGAACAACTGCAAACACTTCAATTTAATACCTAGTCAGCAGGTCGTTTGTAAACACGTTACTCACAATATTCCGGGAGTCTATGCCGAGCGAGTTCAACAACACGTTGTTGCTAGAACTGTTCGCCCATTGATAAGTCAACGCGTTCGTTTCTTCTACGTTCTTTATACTCTGCCACACTTTGTCCACTTGCGTTATCAACGCTTCGATTTCGATCTCGCCTTGCTCGGAGTCCAATGGGAACATTATTGTTATTATATCTTCTATTTTGTTAGCAGCCTAAAGGAAATACGTGCTGGTTTACTTTCACTTGATTGATGTTATTAAGGGGCCGTGTGAAACTTAAAAAACATTCTCAAAAATGATACAAAATTTTAGGCGGTCACACTGGTAAGGCTCCTTATTTTTTAAATTCAAATGAAACTTACGTTCTTATTTTCTATCCGACAAATTGACTCTTTTAAACTGATTTGCGGTGGTTCCACTGCGAGCTGTTCAAAGGCAGTCTCGAAGTCATTGAAGTCACCAAAATCGTCATCGTCTCCTCTCCTTTCAGGTACATTTGTTTCGTCAACCCTTTCAGGTTGCGTATGCTCAGAAAAATTGGCGAAATCCCCGAAATCATCATCCTGAACCAAAGCCTCCTCTCTGTTCTCAGTTGCCTCCGTGAAACCGGAGAATTCCATCTGAGGAGCCTCGAAAGAAGCCGTGTCGTACTTGAAGTCGCCAAACTCTTCGCTGGAACACCTGGAGATAACTGGCAGTGTTTGAGAATTCTCGGCTCGAACGCTTTTTCCTTCTCCGAATGAGACAGCCTCGTCCTTCGTTTCCCTTGAAGAGAAATCAGGCTTTGAGTCGTCGAGTAGCTCTCCCTCAACAGGGAAACTCGAATGCTCGACGCTTGGAAATTTCGAATCCTCGAAATCTCCAAATTCAAAAGCATCTTCGCTATTTTCTACATGTCGCTCATCCAATTTAGGTTTCTCATTTTCCAAGTCCACATCCAAATCTTTCTTATCGTCGACGTTCGAGTCTCTGCTCAGACTGCTGGCATTGTTCAAAGTATTCTCAGATTCAGCGAATTTGAACTCTGAAAACGCATCGTTACTGGGAATCCAACTTTCTGCAGTCTCGAACTCCTCGTAGTCATAAAATTCGTCTTCTACTGGTTGTACGGCGTCGGGAGGTACGGTGGGATCTCCAAAATCCAGGCTCAACGGTTCCACGTCCTCTGGGTTTGGAGAAGCCTCCCGTTCACTAGCTAAACTGCTACCCTCGCTCGCTAGATTACTCGCACTGGAGATCGTCCTCTCAGCTGCATCCTCTTTATTATTATTATTCTCTATATTCTTTTTACTCTCCTCAACCACTGTCTCAACATTCTCATCGTCTGTCTTCAGTTTAATATTGCTTACAGTATCATTTATTTTCTCGAGTATCAAGACATCTTCTGTGATCGTTGGTTTCACACATGGACACATAGTATTGACACAGGTCCACGGTTTCACAGGTGTCTTTCTAGGAGTATCTGGGATGCCATTCACCTTCGGTGAGGCATTCTGCGATGGCAGAGGCGTTTGAATAGGTGTTATAAGTTTCTGAGGTGAGTCTGAAGACACGGATAATCCTGCAACAGAATTTTACAATTTACATATTGAAACTTATTATAATATAATGTTTTGTTTACCATCTATGCCTCCAGTTGCGAAATCCCCGAACTCGTCCTCCTCGGAGTCACCGAAATTATCCAACGGAGGAGGCGTCGAGCTGACCAACGGTGGAAACGCCATCCTTCATTGGTGTCCTGAAGAAAAAAAAAAAATACGTTTCCCTCTGCGTCTCGATTTCCAGGTGTCACACACACGTAACGTCAGGCATATGTCAAACGCTGCACCAGGTTAGATGCGTGTTAGTTTGAAGCAAGGAGGTATACTGTGGTAATATCGGATGAATCGGCTCGAAGGCACGTCGATAATTCGCTGTTATGCAGATTGTTTTTATCGCGGGACCAAGGACGCTTAATTGTTGTACAAGGAAATTATTGTGCGCGCTGTTGACTTACGGAAAAGTTGGGTACGTGGAGCACCTCACGATATGATCTTATCTCCGACTTGTTGTCATTGCGATCTCATTTAGACCGATTCCTTTATCGTAGGTTTCAATCTTTTTTTTATGAGTAAACGATTGAGAACCGCGAGGTTCGGTGGTACAATAATCACGAGACCATCGGTCGTATCACCTGTTCTGCATTTAATGCAGCTGCGCGCCAGTTATTGTACCGCGACTTTTCAAAGAATTCCGCTATCCGACCGAAGTTCCTCTCTAAATATCATCGTTTCGCTTTGATTTCCATAGATAACATTCTCGACTTTTGCTTAATGCTTTTCTAATTTTTAATCCGAAGAAACGTGAATCTTATCCGTCAATTTATACAATTTGTACTGTTTACGGGATTTATAATTCCGAGAGATTTCAGAAATAACGCGAAATTATATAAAGTCCTTTTATTTACATTTCATTAATCAGAGAACATTCGTTAAAACTATGAATCGAAACAGGGAATTAAAACAGAACAAATATCCTATAATATTCGAAGTTTAATCTACTTTGTATCTTGTTTGGCAGTATGTTGAGTCCGTCTGTGTTTCCTCATGTCTCCTTTTTGCCTGAAACATCTGCCACAAACGTCGCAAGCGTGAGGCTTCTCACCAGTATGAATTTTTATATGATTGTTCAAAGCCTCTGTCCGGGTGAATGCCTTTTCACAGTAGTGGCACTTGTATCTCCGGTCGCCTCTGTGTATCAATCTGTGTTGGTAGAACACTGAGCCGGTTAAGAAAGCCTTGTTGCAAACGTCGCATTTGAACGGTCTTTCCCTTGTATGCTTCTTCCTGGTGTGATCAGCCAGGTCGGGCTTTATTGTGAATCTCTGGTCGCAGTATTCACAGGCGTATGGTTTCACGCCCATGTGGAACCGTTTGTGCGTCCACATGTGGCTAGACTGTGTATAACTCTTCCCACAGATATTGCAAACATACCTAAATTATAATAAAATAGATTTTAGACTTGCTTCATATTAGCTATGATTAAGAAATATTGAGAATTAGATTATGTTTTAGCAGCTTCGACGATTAATGGATCAAGTCTTAAGTTCAAACGATTTATACTCACGGTCTTAGGCCACTATGCCTCCTCTTGTGTGCATTCAATGAATTGGCGGTTGGTAAAAGACTCCCACAGATATCGCAAGGGAACTTAGAGCACCTGTACTTGCCATGCTCTTGAAAATCTTCAATGCTAGCAAACACGCTACCGCAAAGTTCGCAGATGAACTTCTCCTTCCCTTTCTCAGACTTCCTAGCCACAGGCTGGTGCCTCTTCTGCTTATGTTTGTATAACAAGGACAGCTCTTTCATATCTTTGTCGCAGATCTCGCAGAAGAACACCACCAATACTTTGAATATCCTCGGGTGTTCCTTCCAGTGAAGGACAGCCTCAGCGAATGACTTGAATATGGAATTGCACTGGGTGCAAGAGTACGGTGTTTCAATAACGTGAGTCTCTCTGTGGCTCTTCAAGTGCTCCATGTCTGCAAAATGACTGCTGCAGAATTCACAGTGGTACAATTTTAGTACTTGTAATTCTTCGATCAAACTGATCTTCTCCTCGTGCTTCTTGCAATGCTCGTCCGCGGATTCACAGCTACCAAACGCTTCGCCGCAGCAAACGCATCTTCGAATGAAAACAATAGTCAACTATAATTATAAAGAACAATGAATGAATGTAATAATACCTCCAAATGGTTTGACTGTTCTCGAAGATGATACTATGACCCGCCACGTGTTTGTTCAATCTCGACTTCTGTGTGAAACTCTTTGAACACTCCGGACATTTATAAGGCTTCTCTGGGAGGTGAGTGACCACGTGTCGTTTCAAAGTGTATCCGTCGCAGAATCCCTTAGAGCAGACCTCGCAGACGTGAGGCCTCGTCTTCCCATCTACACAAACGTGTTTCTTCAACCCATCCTGATTTTCAAATAACTTTCCACACTGCAAACAGGAGACTCTTCCATCCTTGCAGTGATACCTGAAAAAAGAATTCAATATAATTTAATTTCATATGAAGTCTTGTTTCTACAGTTTCATTTTATGATACCTTTTGTAGTGATAATACAATTTCAATTCCTTGCCGAAAGTGATCTTGCAAATGTCGCAGTACAACGCCTTCGCATCTTTGTGAAAATTTTGATGGAACTGCAGTCTCTCCTCAAAAGTGAATGTCGCGAAGCAAACCTCGCACTTGTACGGTTTTGAAGTAGACTGCAAGTTAGGCTTGCATTTATGCTCGTCCAGAGTCTCTTTCGTATGATACAGATTCATGCAAGCCCCACATTTCAAGTACTTCTGTTTGGTACCTAGACAGACCAGCGTTATAGATTCGTTTTCTGGTTCTTCTTCTATTTTAATCTCGTTAGGAATCTGTTCTTCGTCGCTGCTCTCGAGGACGATGTCGCTATCGTACAGTTCAATGTCTTTCCTTGATTCCTTATCTTCTTCATATACTCTCATCCGTCCTTCCACGCATAACGGACAGCAATCTGAATTCTCTTCGGTGTTCCCATCGCTTTTGGAGTTGTTGAACGAATGTCTTTGCTTTAAAATCTCGAAGAGGGTCTCCTCGGCTCTGATGCATTGCACGTCGAAGTCGTTGCACCAGGTGATCTTTTCGACGCAAGTCGGACAGAGTTGCTTCGGAAGAGGATCAGTTTTTTTTACCTGAAGTTAAATAGTAATTAATTCTGATGCCAATAACGTGATTAATTTAAAGAGAAGGATTTGGAAAGTCTCAATAATAATTAAATTGTGGATTTATAAAAAAACGTATTTAATATTTAAAACCATAAAGAGTTCATGTTATTTTTATTTTCACGGGTATCAAGACATTTTCACATTTTTAAAAATTCACGGTTTACGAAGAATTACCTTAATACTGAGACAGGTGTTTATTTTATGCAAAAGTCTGAGGGATTCTCCGAACTCGGAATAAATATAAATCGGATTTGGGGTTTCTCCGGCGCATAAACGGCAGAGAGACTTGAGCCGATTCTCATTCTCAGGTTCCGGTTGAAATTCTAAAATCTCGTTCGAGGAAAGCGGTTCCTCTTGGGACCAAATGATTGACCCCTCGAAATCGAGGTCGTCCTCCTGCTCGCTCAAAGTGCTAATCGACTCGGTTTTGCACACGTTCATATTACAAGCCTAATTCTATCTAAAATTTAATGTAAAGTAACATTAAGGGAGAATAAAAATATCGCATATAGGAATTTGTAGATTATTTTATTATTTAATTCATAATATCTTCTTTATGCATCGCGTTTGCATGTTTCCGAGCAAGTGAAATCGTTTGTATTTTTAAATACGTATATCCGTAATTAAATAATTTAATATGAAATTTCTAATCAAAAGAGATCCACCCGGGTCACTCTTAAATAATCGTAAAAAAAATGATAGTTTCGTTTGATCTCGCGTTGGCGAGTGTTGCGGTCGAGAGTACATCAGAGCAGATTACCTCGTTCCTTGGAAATGAAAACGGAAGGATTCTTTCATGGCAAACTAAACTTGAGTCTTCGTGCCGTCGAAACAATTCGACAGTCCGCCCGAGCTTTGCGAGTTCATTCCCAGTAAACACGTTGTCTAGGGAACCGAAACAAACGCGAATCTCAAAAATACGCAGTTTATTATTCGACCGTAGGCATCTCAAAAATACAAATGGACGATGATTGTTAGAATGCAATAATGCACATTTGTGCTTACATAATTATTAAGCATTAAAATTATCTTACATATGATAAGAAAATAATTCGCGTCTGTACAAATAAATGAATTTCTTATATTCGCGTATGTACAAGTAGATAAACTTGTACATACGTGAATACGTGTAGATAATCTACACGCGTTTCATCCGGTGCATATCACGTATCGCGTGTCATTTTTCGATCTCCATTCTCTTATTCTCTTGCAGTGTCTTAATACTACCAATAGATTCAACTTGATTTTGTTCAACTTCGTTGTCGTATGCTTCTCATAGTCTTCGTTAGTGAAGAAGTACACGCATTCTGAAATGCAATCACTTTTATGCAAACATTTTTAACCGAGATTGAAGAATCTTACCATTTCCAATGTTCATATCCATTTCTTGTCTCTTATAATATAAAAACAGATTCAAGTCGCCCTGCTTCCTGGCATGGGCTTTCCCCAACGACAGAAATGTATACTTCGCCTGAATTATCTCATTAATAGTGTTTACTAAACTGTTTACAGCGTCTAATGACTGCCTTCCTATAATATATTTTGGTATTTTACTAAACTCTTCCTGCGTTATCAAAGGTATTGTATAGTAGACTTCAGGCTCATTGAACAACATCTTCTTGCAGTTTTTCATAGGTGTTGGTGTTGCTATTGAGATTTCCTTCTTGGGTTTAATCTTTGCTGTTGAGCTTTCAACTATTTGATAATCATTTAACAATCTCTGTGGCACATTCCTGTCCATATGAATAATCTTCTGATCCAAACGATTCAGCTTTGATATTAAATCCTACAGTTTGTTAACTGTTTAAGATTTCTTCCTTTTAATATAGAAACTGTGGAACATACCTTCATCGCATCGATCTCTTCCCTCATTTGGCTTACCCTCTGCCTCTCGACTTCCACCCCATTAGAGATCTGGGTAACTATTGAACGCATGTTAAGAAGTTCGTCTTTTATCACTTGACCATCTGAAAGAAAAATATGCAAAATTCGTTAATTCTTAACGAGAGTTCATGAATAAAATAATGAAACTCGACTTACTTTGAAAAAATACAGTTACTGTTTCAAGATTTCGCAGTTTCTCGCATAGCTGTTCTAAAATCACATCCAGAGAGTCACAAGTTGACATTTCCAAAAGTAAAACCCTGCGATTTTATACGCTAAATTGGCAAAGCCAGTGTATTTATTTAGATTCGAAGTATTGCACTGTGCGACGAACTAATCGTGGAGAATTAGTAAAATTCTCAGGGGTAGAGAATCGTATATATTTCTCTTATTCAGTAAAAGTTCGTTGCCGCTAACGAGTCGCCGACTTCAAATTTGATTCAGCGCCGTTTACATTTAACCCGCGCTTGCTCCGAAAGGTTAAGATTGAAAACCAACGCAAAGCCGATCGGGGATATCTCCGTTTATTAAAAATTCAAATACGACGACTATACACGATCGTCCACATAATTATATAAAAATACGAAGATATCGGTATTTTTTTTCAAATCAAGAATGATCCACGTGTTAACTTTCTCCCATCACATGATCCATTGAAAACATTCAATGGCTGCCAAGTCATCAGAATGCGTTCGTGGTTAACTATTCCCTAACGCCGGAAATATTCAGCTGCTCTTTTGTAGACGAGATTAGTTCATGCGACACATAGTTAAGGAAAAAAATGCGGAATATATTAATTTTCGTCGCGTTGTTCGCGTACGTCCAGGGTATCAGATTCTATCTGGAACCGAATTCGCTGAAATGTTTGAAAGAAGAGGTCCAAGCGGACGTCATAGTCGCCGGGGAATACGAGGTTTCGATGTCGCCGGGCATCAAAACCGAATACATTGTGAGTTATCAATTTCCAATGCTCCTATTTTTAATATATTTATTCACCCACGGTGCAACTTAACCTCTCCGTGCATATGCTCTGACGTTGTATTCGTCGCCCTACCCGATTTTCGAGAATAATCAATATTAGACTACAGATTTTTATATAAACTGTTATCGTACAAGCTTTAGTTACTTCGTTTATATTTCCTGCGCAGTTGATTTATCTATGAGCGCATCAAATTTGCAATCTAATGATTATTGTTGTGGGTAGGAAGAAAGTCGTAATGAAGTTTCTTGGGAATATTTGTTATCGATAGGTAAGGGATTCGAAGGGTGACATTCTGTCGAAGAAGGAAGATATACCTCATGACAAGATGTTGAAGTTCTCGTTCGTCACAGAAACTTATGATACCTTTGAGATCTGTTTTATAGCACACAGCATACAGCCGTCGTTCTCAGGCAGTAAGTATAAAGCTTTAGTGTGAAGAACTGTTCGTTTTATTTCTATCGTATAAAAAAATTTGTTGTAGATATGAAACACATGAAACAGGAAGTCCACCTGAGCATAAAGCGTGGCATCGAAGCGAAAAATTACGACGGAGTAAGTCTCGACGTTTCAGATTCTGATAACATTTTCATTATTTATTATCGTTTTCCTTCGGTCCGTTTCATCACTTGACGAAACATGTAGGAATTGGCAATCTTTGCGTATTTAAAAAAAATTATATTCTCTGGATTGCCAATGCCTTTTTCAGAAATGAGCTCGTAACATTTCATCTATTTTCTTTCTTTTATATGTGGCTTGTATGGGCACACAGTTGGTAATGTAGCAAAATTGGTTTGATTAGACATCGTTAGTGTGTCTTTTGATAGCATAGATTTCTGCATGCGATCTAGCACTAGGATATTCTTTATTTATCTTAAACCACCCAGCCACTATTTAATTAACATGAAACTGCCACTTAACAAAGTTTGATTGCGAACACTTACATAGAAATTAAGCTGCAGTTAAAGGAGATTGAGTAATTTCAACTCCCATGTTCCCACGCGGTGATAAAAGCGGAAATTTTGATTTCCTTTTAAGATCGCTGAGGCAGCGAAATTGAAACCATCCGAGGTCGAATTGAAACGGTTGGAAGATCTGTCCGAGACTATCGTGCAGGATTTTGCACGCATGCGAAAGAATGAGGAAGAGATGAGAGATACCAATGGTAAAAAGTCTTAGATAAATCTGTCTATCTGGCGTGTTTGATCCGACTACTGATTAAATGAATCTATCACTTTCAGAGGCGACGAACGCGCGTGTATATTATTTGAGTATACTGTCCATATGCTGGCTGTTGGCACTCGCGATTCACCAGGTCATTTACTTAAGACGATATTTCAAAGCGAAGAAACTGATCGAATGAAACGGCTTATTATCAGTTTCTGCCTCATCACAACTACTATTTATTTATTTTCTCAATAAATAATTAAGAAGCATTACCACGGGAATTGTGGGGGGATTGGCCGATAAAAATTTTGTATACTCCATCGAATTTAAATAAAAAAGAAGACATCATTATATATATATATGTATATATACTTATACTCCTTATGTAATACATTTTTTAACGATAGAAAATATGCTTTCACTTCTACAATAGTTAAGTTTTGACTTCTGTTAGTTAAATTACAAATAAATGGAACAATTTTGTAATATCTCTTCTAGTTTTGTTTTATTCCCTTATTTCGTTAGGTGTTTTGGATCTGCATATATCAGCAATTTTAGATTCTGGTATTCAGAATTTAATCAATCATAATTTAAACACCTTAGAAAAAATTTCGGAAAATTTTTTTTTCCTCA